CCGCCCATCAGCGGCCCGCGCGCCATCGCCTCCAGCTCGCCTAAAGCTACCGACACCTATACAAACAACACACAAAACACTAATATACCAAAAATAATCTTTTATAACTATAAAGATACCTTTAAACCAGACATTTAAGAAATATTTTGACTAGATACAACATTTTTCACCGGTAACTTCTTTGAAAGGTACCATGTCAGTTGTCAAGTTTAGTGCCATCTCATGTCCTTGTATACGTTATAAAACATTTTACAAAATTTAATAAACTCCATCATTAATTATAAATAAACAGTGGCACACTTATTGGTAAATAATTAATTTCAATTGATTATATGTTAGGTAGAAAATCAGTAATGTACCATAGTAGCAGTGCAACACTGAATCACTGACATATACGTCATGCCCCCTTTGACAGATGTCATTATTCACAAAAGAGTTTGAACGTAAAAAGCGCGCCTTTTTGATCCGTGTGCAGTTACAATCATTACTTAAAAATATTGACTTGTAGTTTTGAGGACCTATCAATAGAGAGCGTTAGTATATATTTTTTTGAATCTCTTTGGTGCCAGGGTCTGCCTATACATGTAGCTGCAAAGGTAGAGAAAGACGGAAGATTGACTTGTGTGAAAGAGAATATACATTAGAAGTGAATGATTCAAGATAAATGTAGTAAATAATGTGCCGACCCTCTGTAGACACAAGGTTGATATATGCATACCTTATGAGCGTGTTGCTGACTGGAATAGTACGGCGGTAGACCTTCTGTGTACGACGCTTGCGCTATCGGTAGTACCTTAAATAATAAATATGAAAACATTTTTTTAAATATGGCAATAACTGTATATAATTTAAGTTATCAAAAGCACACATTTATTACTCCTCTTATGCCATTTACACTATTCCAGTCCAGTAATCATTACCTGTGTCGGCTTACCATAATTATACGAGCACTAGCATGCATCAGTATAGCAGCGCTGGTTTCAGTTACTGGACTGGAATAATGTAAACTGTACACTACAGCATTAGACATTTGCAAATGTAGATATGCAAGACTTAAGGGGATTAAACGAATATATTACCTTCGCACACCTAGCCTGTGAGAATCGCACGTCAGTAGCCAATGTATCAAACAGAACTCCTCCGGATTCCTTCTCATCATCAGATTTGTCCGTCTGGAGGTATATGGGCGTCAGTACTTGCGCTGCTCTACGCCATGAGGAGGCACTCGGCAACTAAATACGAAAACTATATGATACTAACAGTTTTATAGACAAATAGTACAAAGAGAAAAGTTTTTTTTTATGTAATAAATAAAGTCCAAAAGTACTGGTACAATTAAAAAAATTCTTTCACCATTAAAAAGATATGTTATCACTGTGGAACATTGGCTATATTCGTTTTTTTTTTAATTCCTAATTCCCGGCAGATGAAGTCGCGGACAAAAGCTAATAATAATCCTATAAATTATAAGAAATACCTATAAATCAAAGATTCATGAACAAATAAATAATGTATTGCAATAATTAAGACTAATACAGATAACTAAGTTTCAAAATAATTTAAAAATAAATGTACAATGAAACAAAATTTTTCAAATCAATACTAACCTCAAAAAATGAAGTACTCATAGCATATTTTCCGACATTATCATCAAAGCCCTCTCCAAACGCCAGATCAATATGTCCTTGTAGAAACTGCCGGAAGCTAGGTCTATCACTTGGAGGATCCGGTTCTGTACCATTACACATCTGAACCAGTCCTCGGACTAAAGAACTCACATCACGAGCTGATCCTGTCTCTTCCTCCGTATTTATGTATACAAATTCTTCATTCTTGGGTATAGCGAAGACAGATTTTGCACTAGAATTGAATATTTAGACAGATTAAATTCAAAACTTATATATTATAGTATATTTATATGCAGTAGAACCTCTATAACTCAAATCTTGGTAACTTAAAAGCCTCAAAAACTCCAAAAAATAATAATACTGAACCTTCCTACCTCTATGGCATAGACCCTTGATAACTTAAAATATTCTGTTTCCCTTGGACTTTAACTTATCGAGAATCTACTGTATTACTTTAAACTACATGAAAAATGCAGATAGTAAAGTATTTTTATACCAGTTTTTGAAGAAATGTGAACAGATAAACGGGAAAGACTCAGTCACAGTTAATTTTACAAAAACAACTGCTAAAAGCTATTTATTCTTATCTTTGTTTACAAAATATCACATTGATTGACATTTGTTTTCACCCAATAGACAAAGTAAAACATAGAAAACTTACCAAACATTAGTAATAATCCTAGTTTTCCTTAACATAAAATATAATTGATCTTCAACAGCATGTTCAAGTCTTTTTAATGCTGCTGGGGCTTTCCGTAACGGTGTTGGAGCTCTACGGAAATGGAACAGCAGGCGAGGGCAGCAGGGTCTGCCATGATTCTCCCATGTGCTACCAACTTCAGCTTCGGATAGAGCAGCTTTAGTTTGCAGATGTAACTCATTTCTAGTAAAATGGAGAAAACACTAATGAATAAAATAATAACAAAAAATTTGTTAAATGTTTCATAATTATTCCCTTTCTAATTATATAAGGTTATGTTTTATTAATTACCGTTCTATCAAAACACATTCAGAATGAGCTTTTACATTTTTATTAAAAGAGAGAAACCCCCCATTGGATTAATTCAATCAGTTACTCAATGGGAAAAAATCCCAACAGGTTGATTGATTGGTAGGCCAATCAGGGCCAACAGGCGACATCCTTAATACTTAAAACTCACTGGAATACAATGAATAAGTCAACTTCTTTTACAAGATTTAATTATATAATAATTACCTATAACCATCAATAGCTTCAAACAGTTGCAGATATCCAAGATCAAATACTGGTGTAGGTAGAGACAGGATAATGATATGACAAAGATGAAATATTAATGTCATAGCCCTGCAGGACTCTATCGCCAGCTCTCCTGCTGCCACTAGCCAATGTGCAGCATCAGCATCCTTTACCGAGCATTTGGAATCCTCATCAAGATCAGCAGCAAGTGTTGCCAGGCGTTTCGTGTCTAAATATGTTATGGCGTGAAGGTATAGAACACTCTTTCGTTCATCCCAAAAGCACTGAATTCCATTCTGCAAACAGATTAAAGATAAAATGAAGTTGTATTGTTGGATTATTTTTTTACTTTTTCTAATGAATTTAAGCAAGTTTGAAGACAGATAAGTAGACAAAGGATATACAAGTTTTATTTTCAGGTTGGATAAGGAAAAATAGTTACCTCTTCACATTTAGTTGTCGGCAAAAGTGGTGTTGTTTTGTTATGATACCGGTAAGGAGATTTTCCAATAATACCAACAACAACAATGCGCTCCTTTTTAGAAAACTCCGGTATATCATGTATTGAGAACTCGTTCATTTTCTCAGATGTCTCGTAGCTTAAATTACTGTTAAGTTGTTCAGAAAAGTTAAAAATTTGTATTATTATTTAATTTCTCATTGAAAATTGAAATGTTATGACATTTCGAGACATCGTGCAATTGTGTCACAGAATTGTGTACAAAATTGATCAAAGTATGAAATAGATTATAAAGCATCGACTTTCATAAAACACATCGAGTTTAATCGTCGTAATCATTTTAAAAGTTGTTAAAAACTGAATGTTACATTACCAAAGAATCAATTTGATTAAAAATTGATTGGAATTGCGTCTTTTATATCTTTCTTAAAGCATTAAATTAAAATGCTTTAGTTGATAACCTAAAGCATTTTAAACCGATAACAATAATCGATTTTCGAAAGTTACAATTTTTTGGCTATAGCTTTTGGAGGCGTCAGCATTCTGTCAATGTCATCAAAATATGTCAACTGTCACAGAACAGCTGTTATGGGGTCCGACTTCAACTTATCTATAATTTTGTGATTGTGATAGAGCGCCTTTCGAAATCAAGGTCCACTAGTTTTACTCGCGGCATGGAGAAATGTTATAATCAAATAATATCGTACATTCATCCTTGTTTCAAAACGCTAGTGACTTTTGAACATTGATTTTTGATACAGTAGATAAGTTATCAGTGAATTAGTTGACGAATATCTTGTTTTTTTTTTTTTTAATAAAAATGTCTTCTGTTGTCGAAGATATTTGCGAACTTTTAGACAGTTACAATGGAAGAGACAAGGTAAAGTATGCGGAAACTATTTAACCTTGATATTTGCGTATAAATTCTTGTCGTTCCAGTCAATAACCTGTTGCACAAACTTACTCCAACCTATCGATAATTTAATAATTTTTCAAATATAATGTTATGTGAAAATCCAGCTTTGTATATCGTCTATACTGTAACCTTTTCGGTTTTCTTGCCTTGACTTGAATCTTTTCCTTATGTTTATAATGTCAGTTTTTGTTTTATCATAAAATCATAGATTAATAAATTCAGAATAAGACTAATAAAACTATATTCTTTTAAACTCTAGGTGGTTCGTTTAACTTGCTATGCATTCAAACTATATGGCTGCATCAAAGGAGAGAAGCCATGGGAGGCTGCGGGCTCCCGGCTCTCAAATGCCAGGATGTTGTTGCGGCTCTTCGATGATATACCTATGATACGACATACATATAACTATGGCTTGGGGAAACATGTAAGTTACTATACAATCACAATAACGATATAGTTAAAGAGTTTGGTCCTTGATATACTATATACTATACTAATATTATTTTTAGAAGGAAAGGTTTGTATTTTTGTATGTATTGAAAGAACTTCAAAACTACTGGGCCAATTTAAAAAAATCTTTTACTATTAGAAAGGTAATCTCGTAATTTCTCACACAGCTTGTACAAGAATAAACATAAAGTTTGTTAATATATTAGTTAAATAAATGTAACTAGCTGTTGCTTGCGACTTGGCCCATGTGAATTAGAAAATAATGAAAATACAGTCTATGTTACTCATTGATAACCATAGCTTTTTAATTTTGGAAGATTTTTTAAATCAGCCCAGTAGTTTTTGAATACATTTCAATACATACTGAAATCTTCCCTCTTTGTAATATTAGTATAGATTTATTTGACTTTTATTATTTGTGCATGTCATAGTATATTAAATGTTACTTCCTCATATCCATTTACAGAAATTGCTAACTACAAATATGTTTCAATACAGAATGTATCGGTTCCTATGTCCATTATTGCATGCCCTTGTCAACAAATATTTTGTCATGTCACTCAAATGTAACATGATAATATTGATACTTGAGATTTAATATCAATTACATGAATATTTGTCAGTCCGGAATTGTACAGTAAAAAATAACAAAACAAAAATGAACTGTTTTAAATTACAATCCAAGGACTCATAGGATTCTTTTAGGTTGTAAGTTTCTTTAAAAAAAAGTTTAAACACTATTCCTAGCTTAAGATGCATGTATGTATGTATGAATGTAGAAGTGAGCAAAGTTTGTCATGACTACACTAAATGGAGGTTTGCTTGCTTCTCTGCCTACCAATCTCGGTTATAGGCATAAGTTGTTCTGGATTTAGACAGTCCTGTAAATAATTATTAACTAAATAACAAATGAGAAAACATTTCAGAAAACAGAATCCTTATTTCCTAAATTTACGATTACGTCTATCTTAACAGTTCTATTAAAATGCAGATAAGAAAATAAAATCATGCAATAGTTTCCTTAGCAACAAAAAAGTCCGGATTGAAACAGATTATATATTACGCAGGAGTCATCAAAAATGGCGGCATTCCTAGGTGTGCTAGCTAATATGGTGGATCAGGCATTCCTTCCTGTGGAGAAGGCGTGTTGGTTGCATGAAGTGGGCATCCTTAAACTGTCCACGCTAACCGCTGACAGGCTAGAGGTGGTCAGCACAGCTCTGTGGGCGGCCAGTTTATACATATCATTGTTACAGTAAGTTTCTTTGTAATCTGTGCTAATTTAAATTATACACAAATTATATTTTAAGATAAAACTCGTACTAATATTTCAGTTGATACAATATCTTATCTGTCTTTTTGCTATCTTGCTTATATTATGAATGCAAAATTTTGAATGGATATTTATTAGAGTTTGTAGCCTAAACAGCTGAACGGGTCTTGATGAAATTTGGCACAGATGTAGAATATAATCTAGAAGAACACATAGGTTATTTACTAAGTTTTTTTTTAATTCCTCGCGGACCTTACACCCTTACACCACATGAACATCTCAAAACACGTTGACATTTGTCCATTTACTTAAATTGTTTTTTATTAATTCCATTCTTTCACAGGACATTACGCTCTCTACGTCATCTCTGGTGGAGTAGAGATTGTCTACAAACATGTTCGGAGAACGGTGGTGTTGATGCACGTAAGAACTTGGATGTCAGGCTGACGCTGGGAGCGGTGACCGCGGGGAAACTTTGCTTAGACATAGCTCACGCCGTCAGCTGCCTCCCCCCCGGCTGGCTGTGGGGGGAGAGGATAGGGGCTACGAAAGTCGCCGCCATTGCAACCACCTCCTCTGTTATAGGCATCGCGTTGTACTTCGCTAGGAAACGATTGATTAAATAGTTTTCTTAGTACAAAAGATTCTTGTTATAAAATACTGCGTTCGCATTGTCGCAAAGTTGCGAAAGAATGCATGTAATGTCAGTTGTTTGTACAGTCATTACAATTCGCGGTTATCAACTTACAGAAAAACCTTGTTCCTGACAACGATACAACTCCGCCTCTAATTATAAATAATGAATTAGTTGTGCAAACGACGGGTAAACAATAAAAATAAAAAACAATTAGCCGTGTAACAATGACCGAATTTTTTTGCACAGATATTTAAAAGCTACGTTCTATTGTTTTAGATCGTATGTTCGATTCCCGCCATTCGACTATAGAGAACCAACCAAAAACCTAAAACTTTAGACTGCTACAGGAAATACTAGTAATTTATAAAAAAGTTTCCATGTAAATGTATCGACAGTGCGAACGCACGGTAATGTTCTTGGTAACATTCTTTACAGGTTTAAAGGGGTTGTGTAAATAAATGAATTTGTTACTTTCTAATACCTCGAGATAATGTATGCAAGTAGGCAATAACTCGTTATGGCTTTAAGTGTACTTACCCAATGAATACAAGTAATTTTCTTTTTTAAATGTATGTCACCAATCGATTATGAATATAGTCTGTCTGAAATTTGTCTCGGAAAATTGTAGAGATTGTAAATATAAATATAATAAAAATAAATAAAAAATAATAAAAATATGTGTTTTTCGAATTCATTGATAATTGTAGATAGCTGGAATCTTTAATTGCCAAAAAACAATATTACGTACAAATCAAAGTTCAAAGTACGACTATATAAACTATTTTGGTTTAATGAAATTATAAAGGTAACTTTTTAACTACGTGATTCGGTTACATAAAAATTTCACTTTGACGTTCAGCATTCCAAAATATAATCGTGAGTTTTCACTGAAAATTCATCTAAAACAAAAAGTTGTCTTTCTAGTTCTTTAGTGAACAAGTGCCAATAACCTAATGGTTTAGGGTACGGACTACCGATCTTGCGGTCGAGGGTTCGAATCCCGTCATTCGACTATTGTGAACAATATCCTAGCACAAGCGTTGAGCTTAGTTGGAATGGTTAAAGTAAATATTACAATTAAAACAAAAAAGTATTACAATGAGATTAACAGAGCTTATTTTTGTTGTATTAGAAAATGTTGTATAAAGAAATTATTATTTTTAAATGATAAATAAAAGCATTGTTTAATATTTTATTTCTTTTATTTGGTATATACAAACCTTTTTATTATGCTTATTTTAATAGACGGATGTCTGTTCGCCATAAGTCTTGTTTCGTATTTTAACCAGCACATAACTGAGTGATTCTAAAAGTTGGTTTCCATAACTTTGTAATCATTTTTAACAGATGTCGATGAAATTCGGCATTGCTGTAGATAGTCTTAGAACACATAGGCTACTTACTATTATTTTTAATTGTAAGCGGAGATAGTCTGGAAGAACTTGTGTTCTTGTGGCTACTTACTTTTTTTAATTCCACGCGGACGGAGTTGTGGGCAAAGGTTAGTAATACATATTGGTAAATGGGGGGGCGAGTTATCATAGTACATCTCTGTCAAAGTCCATTATATAAGAAATTTTGATAATACTGATTCTACGCTGTAAAATACTTTCATAACTTATCCGTTTATCGGATTAAGCGCCAAATGATGAAATGATAACCGACTTTTGTGATTATGAATGGAAGTATTCATGTATTTATTTTTAAACTAGCTGTTCTTCGCCACTTAATCCGATTTAAATTTAAATTAGCCAATGTTACTCACAGATAAATTAACTTTTTATCGGTGAAAGAAATTATGAAATTGGCCCAGTAGTTTTTGAGTTATTTCAACACAAACAATACAAATCTTTCCTCTTTATAATATTAGTACAGACTAGCTGTTGCTCGCCACTTTGTCTGCGTGAAACAAAAAAAAATGGCCAATGTTACTCACAGATAAATTACCTTTTTAACAGCGAAAGAAATTTTGAAATCGGCTCAGTAGTTTTTGAGTTATTTCATTACAAAAAATATAAATCTTTTCCCTTTACAATATAACCGTATTTTACGGTTGAGTTTTGGTAGAGACGATTGACACACAGTTATTTTGTACAGCTGTTTCAGTGGAAATGTACGGTTAGCACAATATATCAAGTTACTCGCTTAAGTTATTGTACTCGAATGACTCATATTAACATAAAACTTTACACCAATTTACATTACACTCGTATGACACGACTTCGTTTAATTATCAGCCAAACTTAATATATACAAAATCGGTTTTAAAAAGTAATATTTCGTTTATAGTGTTACTTTGTTAATATTTAATTCATCTAGTGTAAAAAAAAGAAAGCTAAAGTTTAAATACTCTATCCAGGTAAGTAATTTATTTCTGAATAATCTGATTTATCTGTTTTCTTTATAGTTCTGGAATTTGAAACAAAGTTTTTTTTAAACAGACATTTTTTGAATTGGACTCTAGCAGAGGCTAACGACTTTCGTACTTCGATTGTTTATTTGTCCCAAAAAATTTGCTACATTGGAATTCATTGTCCTATCTAAATATTATATCTTATCTACATGAGATAGGATAAAAATGTAAGCAAGTACGTTATGTAGTTATTGATACACTGTAGAAAGCGGTTCGCGTACACCATGGGGGCGGTAGACGAAGTGTGCTGTTTGTTGGAAACCCATGCTAATCGAGATAAGGTATGATTTTAGATTGATACTATACATTACCTTTATATTTAATCTGTAATAGGTACAAATACAAATATTTTATTGGTAAAAGTTATTTTAATAATAAGTTTTATCACTGTCGATAAGTTAATGGTTTCCGAGTTTGACAATCTGGTGATGATTCTTCATTAATACAGGACCTTCACCGAAGTATATACTTGACTTCCACATTCCACTGGTATCGGCTTGTCTCATGATAGTCGAAATATCGTGTCCCAATAGCTCATTGATTTTATAGCTAAAGTAATCTTTTCACTTAGATTCTTGGGTTCGATATTAGACCATATGACCTGTTTTAACCAGTTAATATAATTCTTTACACATTGTCGAATTTTTGGCAGCCAATTTCTGGAGAGATTGATGTTTTTTTTTAATAACAAACTCTTCATTATTCATCACCAAAAGTATTGGGGGTATCAATTAATAGTAGCGTCATTTATATAAAAGTGTTGACAAACAGGTTGTTGCCCTCGTGAATTACACATTGAAGTTATGGGGAGCGACCTCCAAGAGTCAGCCATTGTTGACAGCGAGTGCGCGGATTGCTGGCGCTCGCGCCACCTTGCGGCTGTTTGATGACGCTGCCGCGATTAGAGCGCTTCTCAAATATGGACTTGGGAGACAAGTAAGTAAAAGATAATATACATACATAATTTATTGACATATTTAAGAACACTTTGGTCACATCGGACATCGAAGAATAGCAGTTAGAAGAACGCTACAAGCTAGAAGGACGATAGATGACGATGTTTTCTCAATAACTTTCTAAATACACTGTTTGGTTTAAGGACGGATTATTATGGGGTGGTTTAGGCGTAAGCAACGGTGTGCTCCAGCTTTCGTACCTGCAATTAGAGAAGCTGGTATGGCTACTGGATACTGGCGTGCTCAGACTGCCACACGAACTCGATGAGAAGATACGCATCGCGCATAAATTGTTTTGGTCATTGTCGGCGTTTGTTGCACTAATCAGGTGAGTGAAATTTTTTAACCTATATACTAATATTAAAAAGAGGAAAGATTTGCATTATTGTTTGATTGAAATAACTCAAAAACTACTGGGCCGATTTGAAAAATTCTTACACCATCAAAAAGCTACGTTATCAGTAAGAAACATAGACTATATTTTTTAATTTCACGCGGGCGAAATCGCAAGCAACAGCTAGTAATCAAATTATTAGTACACTTTAATTATTGTAGATTTTTGCAAGCATTGTTCAGCTTATACTAACCAAAAGATTTCATAGAAGGATGACTCCTATAAAAAAACTTTTTTCGCAGTCGCAGTTCAGAGTTTTAAATTTGTTATTGCTGTTTTGTATTTATGTTCGTTTTAACATATATTGAGCGATTAGAACAAAAGTAAAGAAGGAAAATTATATTCAGATTGACTCTATTTAGTACAAAATTAAACTGCCATTTAAACTTAAACTTTCTTCCACAGATCGCTCCGTGCGTTACATTTGACTGCTCAAATCTTAAAGTCCCCCAACAGACCGAAGTGTACAGGTGTAAGGTTCACGCAGGCCTCGCTAACTACCTCCAAGTTACTCCTGGACGTGCTGCATGCTGTCAGCTGGTTACCTCGCGGCTGGCTGTGGGGTGGAGCCCTATCCACTACTCAGGCGTCCACTATCGCAACCGCGTCCGCTGTCTTTGGACTTGTTATGCATTATAATGGGAAACGGTTACTACCACGGTAGTATTCAAATATAAATAAGTTTGTTTTAAATGTATGGTCAGCGGTATTTTGGTGGTTTAAGATTTATACAGACTTTCGTATTAATATTCAGTTTTATAGTAGTATTTTAATTTTATCAACTTTAAAAACAGTCACATTTTACAACGAGAACTCCAAAAGTTATCATTAAAATATGTAAATATGTATGTAAATTTTTATGTAAATAATGAAATGTTTAATTAATATTGCGTTTTATTGAAGCGACGATAAACATGTAAATTGAAGTCTAATTAGGCGTTTGTAAAAACTAAAGAACTGCGGTTATTTATAAAAAACTGGCTTTCGCCCGCGACTCCGTCCGCGTGGAATTAAAAAAGAAATAAACGTATAGCTTATGTGTTCTTCCTTACTATGTTCTACATCTATGCCAAATTTCATCGAGATATACTAAGCCGTTTAGGCTACAAACTGTAACAAACATCCATCCATCCATTAGATTACTGGAGCATATTAGGTATTTAAATAAAAGTCGAATAATTGTTTAATTTATTTATTGACAGTTCAGTCGAAACTCATACTCATATCTGATGTGTTGGTGGCGTCAGCATGGGGCGTGTGCGGGGTGTGGGGTGCGTGCGGGGTGTGCGGGGTGCCCGGCGCCCCTAGCGATAGATTCACAGTGGGGAATGGAAACTGGGGGATTTCTTCATCTGTTGAAAAAATTAAACAATAATTTAAACTATAACATTCAATTTATACAACCGAAAACTTTACGATATTTTTAATATTCATTCAATTACTCTATTTCTTCGAAATAATGATCTTATATACAGAATAGAACACACAGAACAACTTATATTTTGTTTTACGCTAAATATGAACAGTAAAAATGTGTATAGGAATCGAAAAAAATTTCTAATGCATGTTTAACTTTGAATTATTGAGCTATGGCTCAACAACTAAACTGGCGGCGAGTTTCACACATATTGTGACTTGTGTCATGACAAACTCACAAATACCTTTACATAGATCCAAATTGACTTAACAAACGAACCGAACCATGATCTCAGATCAATCTTAAACCATTACTAACCAGTGAGTGCCGCATCCAGTCTATCCACAACAGCATCTAGTAACGCCAACGCGACCACATCATCAGGGTCCCGTGCGAGTGCCGCGTGGAGTACGTCGGCGGCAGCGCCAGGCAGAGGCCGCGCGCGGCCAGCGACGCCGCACGTGCGGGGCGCAGCGCCAGCGCGCGCTCGTGCCAGCGCAGCGCCGCGCGCGTCTCCCCCAGCGCGCGGCACGCGTGCCCTAAACCGTCTAGTGTTGCTGCCCAGCGCGGGTGCAGCTGAACACATAAAATAAAACAACAGTCTATCTAACTAATATTATAAATGCGAAAGTTTAGATGGATGGATGTTTGTTAGTTTGTAGACTAAACGGCTGAACGGATTTTGATGAAATTTGGCATAGACGTAGAGCATAGTCTGGAAGAACACGTAGGCTACTTTCTTTTGTTTTTTTTTAATTCGACGCGGTCGGAGTCGCAGGCGAAAGCTAGTTAACTCATAAAATACAATCTATACTAACATTTTAAAGAGATTTATACTTTTGTGTATTGAAATAAAACAAAAACTTTTGGACCGATTTCAAAAATTCTTTCACCGTTAGAAAGGTAATTTATCTGTGAGTAACGTAAAAGGTATTTTTTTTTAATTTAAAAAAGTAGTTTATAATAACTTGCTAATATCATATGCGAAAGTTTAGAAGGATGGATGTTATAATTGCAAAACTGGTCAACGGCTATAGCTGAAAATAGACTTACATAGGCTACTAAACACGTTTTTTTTATCCACGCGCTCTATAATGAATAATAGTTGTTCACGATTTCACCAGCGTTGAATTAAAAAAACGAAGCTTATGTCCGTGATTTTAGTGGTGGAAGTTTTGAAATCGATCCAGTAACTTTTGAGTACATACAAAAAAAATCTTTATCTTTATGATATTATCAGTTATTTACTAGTTTATATTTTATAATAATAAAAAAAAAATTTCAACAGATTATTTCCATGTGTTGTAAATATAATAAAACGATACATCTTTACTTCATTTAATAGCCAAATCGAAAAAAAGGTCCTTCGAGCAGGATAGGTCGTGTATACCTGATCGCGGTCGTCCCTAGCGGCGTGCAGCGCGCGCAGCCACAGAGCGCACGCGCGCTCGTGGTCGCCCGCCGCGTGCGCCGCCGCGCCCGCCTCGTGCGCCACGTACGGGTCGCACACCACGCGTGCGATGCGCTCCCACCCACTACTGTTCTCCGCGTTGCTCTCGTCTGCGCCCACCTCGCCCACCTCCGCGCACTGCACCAACACATTACTGTCTTCAACACGGCCCACAGAAAGGATCATTGATTGGAAGGATCAAAACTACTACAAATAACTGTATTAATACTAGATCCCCCTCTAGACCAAGTCTAAGGTGCTCGTGTATCTCTATGTGTCGTATCATATCGGGTCTTGTCGTGTCGCGTCACGTCGTGTCGTGTCGCGTCTTGCCGTGTCATGTCGCGTCTTGTCGTGTCGTGTCGTGTCTTGTCGTGTCGTGTCGTGTCTTGTGATACCGTAACTTGTCGTGTCGTGTCTTGTCATATCGTAACTTGTCGTGTCGTGTCGTGTCTTGTCATATCGTGTCGTGTCGTGTCGTGTGTTGCGGTACCTCAGTGTCGCTGTGCAGGGTGGCGGCGCGCAGCAGGAAGCGCTCGCACATGCTGACGTTGTTGAGCAGCGAGCACTCGACGCCGACGTACAGCGCGGGCAGGTGGCAGCCCGCCATCAGCTGCGTCGCCTAACATACCTTCTTAATACACTAACAGTAGCTAGAACTACGAATAAATGTAACAAAAAAATACCGATGTTCTGTTTCTTGGGTTTCTTGCAACTTTCGTGTTAATGTTAAAAAACTGCACATATTATCCAAATTTCACTGATGTAACAAGTTTTAAACAGATTTCTCATCTACATCAACAGTTATTGCAAAATTCTAGATCAAATTAATTTACAATTTCATCGAGATGGAAATTATATTTTCAGAGTACCCTTTTTACTTGATGGTACAATCGGGAAACCTCGAAGTATTCCATCTTTGAAATTCCAGACATTTGAACTTTTTGTACGCATTAAGACGATGCAGAATAATTACAAATAGGATGAAGTTTTTATATGTCTTTACGAAAAAAAGGTTAAAAATTTTATTTCATTTACATTGTCTATTGATTATTTTTCCATAAGAGACGGCGTTTGACGTTGCAAGGAACAAGGCAAGTTTTCAAAAATGCAACACCGTAGATTTTCGCGACTGTACTTTTATCTTATACTAGCTGTTTCCGTGCGGCTTCATCCGCATGAAATTTTTTTTTTATTGTTTACATTCGTCAAATTATCAATGGCAAATGTCAAAATGACATGACATGACACACCTTGGCAATCTTGCTTCCTTTATGTTGGCAGCAACTTATGGTCTCTTTCCCACATTGGGGTTTTTATCCAAAATATTTGCCTCCTAAGTTTAATGGCGTGAAAATATATAGTCTAAAGCGTGACGCAAGTGTAGAGCTTTTTAGTAACATAGGAGCTATTCAAAAATATGTTGTAATTGCTGACATCTTAGGCAACAAAGAAGTGTGTGTTTACGCTTTATTATAGCATAGATAAGATATAAATACAGATATAGATGAAAACATTTATTCTTCCTACTAACTAACCTTGAAATAAGCGGCCATCGCTTGGTCGTGTTCATTCTCAGCGGCGAAGCTGTGCCCGTACGCCAGCCAGATGCAGCCGGCGCCGGGCTCCAGGCTCTTCGCCTTGTTCAGGTAGCGCCGCGCGAACTCGCTCTTACCTGCCGTCCACACTCACAGATCACTAAGTGAGGCACTTACTGTACAATTATTATATTACATTTTTCATTTAAGTAGGCATCAAATCAAATGCTTTAAATGCAATTTATACAACACTTATATTAACTATTAAAATCTACATATATTAGAAAGAGATAGGTATATTTTTGACAACTTACTTCTTACCAATACAATAAAGGCGAAATTTCATTTAGATGGATGTTTGTTAGAGTATACCGCCTAAATGGCTGAATATATATCGGTGAAATATGGCATGGAAACAGAAGCTATTTATTAGTAAACTAGTTGTCGCCCGCGACTTTGTCCGCGTGGAGTTAAAAAAACAAAAGCGAGTAACGCCCTTTTCCAGAACTTAGACTACATCTACACAAATTTCATCGAAACTTGTTCAGCCGTTTAGACTACAAATTGACATCCATCCATCTAAACCTTCCCTTGTAAACAGTATAACATACCAATAAGGTAATAATAGCAGCCAACAGCGAACCACGAGGTCCATAAATGTGGATACGCATCAACTAGAGCATGTGCGAAGGCGAACAGCTCCGCACTCTTCCTCAGTTCCACGAGACAGGCGGCTCTGACGTCAGCGCAGGCCCAGGGCCCCGCCTGGTCCAGGGCGGCGAGGGCCTCCGCCCAGTGGCCCGCTGCCGCCAGCCGCCGCGCCTTGCGGGCCGCGCCTTCAGAGCTCCGCGATAGTACTACTTCCACTGAACCAGGTGTGTTCGCTGAGCTCTCCGTAGAGTCACCTCGCTGTTTATTATTGAGTACTTTAACACACTCACGGTTAGATAGCCCCTAAAACTGATTATTTTACGGCTATTACTAACGTCGTTTGAGTAATAGCCGTAAAATAATTAGTTATAATAATGTCTCATGAAAGCTTAAATAATTTATGTCCAAAAGACCACTAAGTATGATAATGAATTATACAAATTAAACATATCAAAATGCGCGTCAAGACAACGATCCAGGCAAGGTCTAGTTGCCCCCCACCCCTATTAGAACGGTCTTTAAGTATGTTTATGTTTAAATACATTTTTAAATTTACTAGGGGGGGGGGGGTGACACCTGGACCACCTTGTTCCTCCTGGCGACGCCTATGCATTTCAATACTGTGTTCTATTTATAAATAAATTTTAATGCTAGAAGCCACAATGTTTGTTTAGGAAAAGTATGACGTCATCAGCGTCCTGTAAAATTGTTTATTACTTCTGTTAAACATGGAAATGTTTTATACCTCATCAGTGTTTGTAGGCGTTGTTTTAACAGGTACGTATCTTAGTAAACGATCTCTATACGCAGTTCGTAGTAGTGCAGCCTCAGCACCACTCAGCTGATTGTTGATTGGTAGGGATTCTATAAGATCAGTCTCTGAAATTGAAAATAAAATGGCACACACACACTTATGGCTAACATTTCAGCTTTCCATCGTAAAATATAGAATCTAAAACTTCTAATATGTGACATAGATGATCACGAAAAAGGACAAAAAGATGAGAAAAAAATAAAAAAAAAAGATCCCCAGTCCTTGGTGAAAATATATGTAGTCTCCAAGGGTCTCTCTTAGTAACCAATTAAGGACCACAACAAACATACATCAAACCATAGATACATAGGTTGGGCGAAGGAGAACACTGCGGGGTTTAGTGGGTAGTCCGGCCAGGATTAAGGCCGGGAGTCCCACACGAAACTGTCCCTGTTGCCTCCGCAGCATGGACGGTGAAGTGCGTAAATGCATTCCCCGCGACAACAAAAAAAAAAAAAAAACCATAGATACATAAAACAAACCTTGTCTAGGAGTAAGTGCATGTTGTTCTAACAGCAGATCCAGAGCTTCATAGCAAGCGCAGTCAGCTCGTAATGCTGATGTCAGCTCTTCTGCGGCTGCTTCTCTTCTTTCTAATGCAGATAATGCTCGAGCCTTCCACACCAGGACACTGGCTAGAGCCCTCTAGCATGTTACAAAACATAAATCATTCAGTACTAATTTTAGGACTACCAGTGCCCTGGACGAGATACCTATTTCGCCCAAAATTTAATAGCTTTAGGGGGTTTAAGACTGTTATTTGCACTGACTGACTGCTTTGACTGCTTTTCCTTCTAGCATCCTGGGCAGTTACTGTACCACTTCTTACCATTGTCATTGAAGTCATGAATAAATCTATTTTTTTTGTAATATTGGGATAAACAGTGTTATAATAAAACAGTTGTGCTTGTTATTGTATAAATTATTTAAGCATAGTCAAAAATTGTTAGCAATGCAGCTAATGTGTGTAAATAACTTACATTGTGTGTCTGATCATGGCTTCTTGGGTCAAGCAATGCCACATCACATTCATCTAATAAAGACAATGCAGTAGCTGGTTCTTTTGCAGAGATGTATGCTCGCATTGCCACCCCCAGGCAGAGAAGATGACGCCTGGAATAATGACAATGTTATAGTTAGACTATGTTTAGTTAAAGATGTTCAGTACTTGGATGAAGCCAGTTATAGATCATATAGCTGACACTTGGTTTAATTTTTTCATAAAATTTTTACTCACCAAATCCTAGCACAAGCTTTAACCTTAATTATAAAATCAAGAAATATTAGTAAACTATGAGTAACCTTCAAGTATTTAATAATTTAAAAAAGTTGTACAATTACCTATGAAGTCCTCTAGAAGTGATGGCGTGTGCTGCACGGTGCAGCTCTCCCCGTGAGAGCATAGTGCTTGCCAGCAGCCAAATGTCGTCCCCACTTGCGGAGTCATTGCTCGTCGCTGCCGCAGCATCCGCCCAGAAGAAAGCACTAGTCCATTGGCCCTACAAATTCCGCAAGGTAAGCTAAATATGAAGTGGTGTATGTCATAATAGCTATAAAAAAGCGCAATAGAGAAGAAAGTAAGGTAAATAATTATTTACCAATTCAGAGAACTGTTTTACTAAAGATCGCATAAAATCCACATTTAAACAGTCAGGACTACTCCGACCAATAGATTCTACTTTGGCCATGGTAAATTACGGACAATGCTCTTAAACTAAGAAATTTCTTCTTAAACTTTATATACACTTAATGATATTTGGTTAGATATGCGAATTTTATAATAAAAACGTAAAAAGAGTTGTTTGTTTATATCCGATTTTCCACCCGCCACAAGTCAAATTTGACGTTTTCTGTCTTAAAATTTTTGACATTTGTTTTTTTTTACGTTTTTCAAAATAAACAAATACGTAAACATGCCGTGCGGATCTTATTAAACGCAAAATACTTATTCATTGAGACTTTCTTTACATCACTGTTATCATCGAAATAATATAAATAATCACCCATTGTAAAGATCATCACCAATCTGAATAAAAATCTTCCTTACTGCTGATAATTCTGATTTTATCTATTTAATAATTAAAAATATTCAGAACACTCACGTTAAATCTAAAATGTTTGTTTTTATTTCATAAAAAATTAGTAATTCATATTTACATCAACAAATTGTATTTTATTTATCTCCAGTGAAACGCGTTGGTCGTCTTCCCCATGCTGTCATTGACAGTTCTAATTTTGATGACGGAAAGAAAAAGGTTATACTTATACATAGAAAAAGAGGGAATAGGTTGATTATGAGTTACTTATTAATGCTATAAAATTAAATGATATTTAGGCCACCTAACAATATCAGTTAATGTAGTTATAAAATTGTAAATAACAATTTTTGAATAGTCTAATACAATATAGATAGCAACGTGTCCTAGGGTTAGACCATAAGGGAATCATGTTATTTCGTTTGGCGTAACATGAGTGAACGTAAAATGTGCAAGTTCTATAACTTAAACGTTCCTGATCGACGGTCTGGTTCCGGTGACGGAGGCGTACTGAATCATACTGGCAATGAAGATGACGATCGTAATGAGGATGAAGGTGTCCAGCCATACGTACCACCCCATGAACACAAACTGGAGTACAGTTATTGGATGTGGTTCTCGCAACGGCCGGCCACCCGTGACCTATCCACAACCACGACCGGCTACGGCCAGGTAAATGTTATTTTTAATATTGTTTTGATGTTATTTGTTTATATATTTATTTATGTTTTACCTAACGACATAAGAAATTTGAATTTTTTGTAGACTCTGATAACATTTAACAGTATGGGAGACATGAGATACAGATAGTATAATGTATGATAAATAAAAATAGAAAATAAACAACAACAGCTATTGTTTACATTTTTAAGACTATATTGTACATAACAATTAAATTATGAAAATGTAGTAACAATTTGAAATATAAATTTTCTGAAATAGAATTCACAACACATCTAGTTTTTTTTTTTTTAAGTAAATCTTTAAATAGTTCATTAACCTTTGTAAAATTAGGTTTTTGATTATCAACATACCAGAGATCTAGCAATGGAAACAATGATTGACTTAGAAATTTTTTGTGAGGGTAGTTCTAAAGAAACAACATTTTAATAGATTATCAATTTACAATTACATATATTCTGAGGAAAATTAATAGACCATTTTAACCTAATCTTATAAGACAAATACTCTAATAGGATAGCTAGAGTATAATTAAAGGAAAGGGAAGTAGATTGGACAGAGGAGTCGCATAGAAAGAGGAAATATCCTTGTATGTATGACCACTCCTCTGTCTATTATAGATCAAGATAATTGCAATTGAAGAAGTCTATAGGTCATATCTTCACTATTTTGAATTATTTTTGACCACTTGCTTATTTGCCATCCAATGTAAAAAACATGAATAACAATTCTTGTATGTGTTTTGTAGGCGTTACGTATGGTGGGTCGCATGGGAAGCGTGGAACAGTGGTGGGGACTATACTCACATTTGTCACGCCCAGATGAGCTGCCTCCCCTCTCCAACCTGCACCTCTTCAAACTCGGCATCAAGCCTATGTGGGAAGATCCTGCCAATGTTAATGGTGGGAAATGGGTAAGGAATTCAAATTGTAAATATGATATTTTAGTTCAAATCTATCTATACTTCTATACTATTATAAAAAAGCGTAAACACACACTTCTTTGTTGCCTAAGATGTCACCAACTACAGCATATTTTTAAATAATTATTTTTTTAATAAATAGCCCTACACTTACTTCACGCTTTAGGCTATATATTTTCCCGACATTAAACTTAGGGGGTAAATATTTTGGATAAAAACCCTAATGTGGGAAAGAGACCATAAGTTGTTGCCAACATCAAGGAAGCAAGGTTGCCAAGGTTTGACATCATGTCATGTCATGTCATTCTGACATTTGCAATTGATAATTCGACAAATGTGAACAACAAAATGATTTTTTTATATATATGCGGATGAAGTCGCATGGGAACAGCTAGTAATAAATAAGATATATTAATTAAAATTGTAGGCATTACCTTATAGTAGAAAACTGTTTCGTAATATAATTAATTTATTGAATTTAACACTGGCAGTTTACTAATTTTAATGTGAATTTATTGTTTTAATTTGGATAAATGATTTTTTTTTTAATGTATTATCTATACTAATGTTATAAAGAGGAATGATTTGTATTTTTGTATGTATTAAAATAACTCAAAAACTACTGGACCGATTTCAAAAATTCTTTCACCATTAGAAAGCTATGTTATCAGTAGCATAGGCTATATTTCTCTGTATCACATAGACGAAATCTTGAGCAACAGTTAGTATTTAAAAATGTAGCAAATCATAACTAGGTTATAAGGTAATCTGGGGAATTAATAGATAAATTAAAATACACTACCAGTGATATGTTTAGTGCAAGAAAGCTATAAATTCTGCCAACCTTGGTTACAAAGATGTTTGTTACAGGTGGTACGACTACGTAAGTCACAGACGGGGCGCGCGTGGGAGGAACTCTGTATGGCAATGCTGGGGGAACAGTTCATGGTTGGGCCGGAGCTCTGCGGCATTGTGCTCTCCATACGTTTCCAGGTTGGTTACAAAATGTATCATTTATTTATGAAGTAAATGAAACATGAAAAACGGCTATCTTACGTGTTACTAATATAAATGTAAAAGTTTAGATGTATGGATGTATGTTAGAGTTTGTAGCTTAAACAGCTGAACCCATCTCAATGAAATTTGGCATAGATGTAGAGGATAGTCTCAAAAAACACATGGGATACTCACATTTTATTGAAATTGCACGCAGACAGGTTCGCAGGCGAAAGCTAGTTTGATATAATCATATTTGTATGCATGAAGAATATTTACTACCCACTTTTTTCTCAGAGATTGATTTGAGAATAAAAAAATGTATATTTTTTGTGTAGTTTTTAAATTAGTATTTTTTTTACCAGGAAGATCATTTAGCGGTGTGGCATAGAACGGCGACAGATTTGGCAGCGGCGGCTCGCGTCCGCGACGCTATGAAACGAATCCTACAGTTACCGAGTACGGTGAACCTTGAGTACAAAGTGCATAGCGACTGCCTACGCGCTACCAACAGACACGAGGAGGAGATGAACCATCGCTCCTAGCAATACTACCTCCTTAACACCTCCCCCCACCTAAACTCTCTCACTTTTTAAATAATTAAATTAAAATTTGTATATAGTTTAATGTCATTGTTTATATTTGAACAGAATAGCTATGAATTAAAAAAATAATGAATTTAAATATGAAATATAGTGTATATTTTTGTTCTGTTTTCAAAATATGACTTTATTAAGTTGTATGAGTAGTGCTAGAAATCAGCGCTGGCATCATTTAAACTAACTGGCGCCAGTGAGCCAGTAAAGCTTACAAGGCCTGTGCAATTGACTATGGATTACTTTTTAAATGCAATTATGAATTTCTCGCCGAACGCACAAATTATTTTATCTCAATCAGTGTTGCCATATTTCGGTAAAAAAAATACTAAAGGTAACTTTTAATATGAAATAATAAAGTGAGAGAGTAATCCCAGTCGTACATGTTTCTCACAAAGTGATAGTAACAGATGTAAAGGATGTACATATATGGAGTTAAGGCCAGACGTCTTGTATCGACGGATGCTCTTGTGAGAATAGATTTGTTGCCAAAATCAAGTAAAAAAAAAAAACTGTATCAACCAGTTCATTGACAACGGACATGGTTTCCGGATTATTAAACAAAATCGAAATTTTAAATACTTCAAATGTGTTTTTTTTCCTCCCTCAAATCTTACTTCTTATTTTATAAATCCGAAGCGCGTGTAGCCTAGATGACTGAACTGATCTAGATAAAAATTAGCATAGATATAGAGCATAGAACACATAGACTACTTACTTTTTTTAAATACCACGCGTTACTTACCTTTTTAAATACAACACTCAATGAGTGGTTAAACAAACGTGTAGAATAAAAGATATAATCGAGTTAAATAAAACAATATAATTCTTCTAGAAAATATATTTTAATACATTAAATTTAACAGACATTTATGTTTCTTAATCAAAATAGAAAATAAATGATATACGTCGCATCCAGCGTCCACGGAACGTAACTAACTTCACTATACACTACATAAACTAGGAAATTACCTAATTATACTTCGATTTAATTTATTTTACACTAAGTTGTGAACACATTAGTGTTATGCACAGATAACAAATATCTAGATTGCAAAACATTTTAACTTTTAAACATAAGATGTAAATATTAATGAATCTTATGTACAAAATGACAGAAAAACTTCATAACGCAAGTATAACAATAATCGTCTTAAAAACAACTAACAATATTGACAATAACGTCTCAAAGAAACCATGGGCGGATATTTATTTTTCAACTAATTTTATAAATTTTTCTAATAATTTTAATGTGAAAATTAATTAATTTCAATAATTGATTAGGCCATAAACATTTGTACAAACAAAACATTTTTTTACAGAACAGAATGTTCTTCAATGTGTTCACAACCTAACACTGACATCCAGACAAAAATACCTACAAATTATTTGTATTTACATTTGGCAACATTGCTTAGTCTATGGTTGGTGATATGCTCGCGGCATCGGGCAACACTGCAGCCCTTGATATTTTTTTAATTACACGAATATGCTTTGTCAATCACAATCATTTCCGATGATAATTTTATTACGATTCAGAAATTTCCATCTAAAAGTGCATTCTTTAAACATTTTAGACATAACCTATATCTAAAGAAAATCATAGACCGAACTTTGATTTTTAGTATATGATTTTCTTTAAATAAACTAGTTTTCTAAACGACAATATTAAAAAGATCACAAAACTCCGCTATGCAACAACACTTTCCAATTTATAGACTACATTTTTCCATTTATAACCTATATTAGTGACTTGCGTCTCTTAAGCTACGTCAATTGCTTTTGATTTATAAGCACTTGATTAGTTGAAAGGGAACCAAATACATAAATAATGGCAGTCTTCCTAATCATAGTGTTTTAACCATAGATATATAATCTATAAAATGAGGTAAAGAGGTTCAAAACTCATTTGTTAGGATAAATTTCCTGCGCCTAGTGGAGATTCCATCGTTGTTATTTTGTTTACCTTGACTATTGCTTAAGAGTGTAATAAACAGAGCAGTGACCCCTTGTTTGCCCTGGGCGTTCTCCCAACGGCGCGTAACCCTAACTCCAGCACTGACAAATTGACATTTCTTTCAACGTCAAAGTAAAACATTCCATTTATAGGTTATATATCTATGGTTTTGATATCGGCAATATTTAATACGAAGTTGATTTAACACGTTAAGCGCTATTACGACTTTTACGTATTAAAGAAGTTAGGATTCTGCGGCAGGGAACGTGTTAAGAAAAATATAGATTCCATTGTGACTGACTTTCTAAGACAAATAGAAATCTGTTAATGTTAAACGTATTATGAGATTAACGGTCGGATAGTGAAACGAAATTACGCACTTACGGAGTAATATTCGTTTCAGTATCGGGCTATTAATTATTTAAATGCATATCGACTGCCAATTTTTTCCAAAAAGATTATTATCAACCATAGTAAAAATAATCATAAACCCATTTGATAACCTTGAGATAGATTTGTATGTCAAATGTCGCAAGTAAAAGTATTCAAAATGAACAATTAATTCTACATAGCCATAAGGCATAGTACATATATCAAAAAATCACTTAAAATAATATAAAATTATACTAGAAAAATATGATTTGTTAGTTATCTTACAAAATAAATATAAAGCTATTTACGGCCAGTAATTGTTAATTCTAATTAGGCCTATACAAATAAATGTTAACACATTCAATGCCACTACAATTCTCTTGTACTAAATTACAAGAAAAGTAGCAATGAATATATTAATAAGCTGCTAATATTGCTTACAAAATTATTGAAGACTAGACATTGTATAAAGAATAATTCAATTTTAAATGCATTTTAATTTTGAGCTACATGATGAAAAGTTTATAAAAATTGTCGTAAACGAAAAAAAAATCAACACATGTCCAAGTTTAAACAAAATACCATAAAATAGCTTTAAGGATGACCATATAATAAAAATGTCTATCAGTTTTTTTAAAGAGAAAACAATTATTGGACAAGTTAATTCTTTAGTAGGCAAGATTGTGCATCAAAGCCATGGAAATTATACGATTCTAAACCCAATACTATTATTAATCAATAATCTCTCTACCATATTGTGGATAAATATTTTTTTAAAGAAAATTAAAAATATATTAATGATCATGTCCTTAAAATATAAAATCATCGATTCACAATATTTTATATTAATGTCTCCTGACAATCGGATAACATCACTATTTACAAACGTCATTTTGACAGCTGTCAATACGTCCATATTTTTACGAGTTCAATGATTTGATAGTCGTCTTTAGTCACAATTAAATATCTGACAATAATTAAACTTTGATGTTCCCTTAATATAATTGTACTTACAATACTGATTGGCTGAATAATAATTTAAAGATCTGATATTCTTCAAGGTGGAGTCACAAATACAATTTTCCCATCGTCAAATAAATTCAATAATTAAATCAACATGAACCATGATTTTCTATTACTTAATTTGTTACTTTATAAACAAAGGAACATTAGGAAGGAGTCAATCGTAACACCATAGTTAAATTGTTCGTTGTACTGACCCTTAGAACTCAATCAAGGGTAGATCTTGTGCTGGTCAGCAGGCTTGTTGTTCAGCGAGCTCGTGGATGAGTAGAGGGGTGGTGTCATGTGTGACAGGTGCGGGGGCGGGGGCGGAGGCCGACGCCGGCCGCTGCGCCGCCACACGCTCGAGAACACATGACGCGGAGAGTCGAGCCTCCGCGTCGTGGTCCCAGCACTCCTCCATCGTGTCACAAAGAACAAATAATCCCTGCAAGACAAAGATAAGACATTTATAAACAAACTTGCTATGCCTATTTGGATTCAAATACTTAAAAGAAAACAAGCCATTGAACTGCTGCTTCTGGCTAGTAGTTTGTGCCCCTTTGTGTCAAGACTTTTTCCCAATTTATTTATCCCGTAAATAAAATAGCGTGCAAATATATGGCCTATAGCATATATGGGCAACAACTGGCCAGTCGACCACACCCGACCCACTGTAAAATATGATCTGGCCCACGAGGAATTTTGAAAAATCCTATTTAAAAAGAAACAACATTAGGTACTTATACTCCAGGAGTGAGTGAGGTGGAAAACAAATCCTTTATGTTGTGACCCGCCAACGTATTTGCACGCTAAAGTTTGGCCTTCAACATGTAAAATGTTGCCCATATCTGGCCATAGCATGACGTAAGTGTAGGACTGAACACTAAAGCATGCCAAAAACTTACATGACTAGCTAAGTTTTAGTTTGATTTGTTATATATGTGCATTAAGATTTCAAGCATACTTACCGGATGCTCTCGCCATCTTGGTGGGATATGTGGTCTCAGTTTCCTCTGTACGACAGCTTCCTGCATCTCCTCCAATCCCGGATGGGAACCAACTTCTTCTTCAAGGGGCAACCTGTACTGTGCGGTTGGTTCTACACCACCTTCGTCACATCTGAATAAAGATGAAATATTAAATGTTACACTCAAAGTTACTTTCATAATCCCTCAGTCTTACCAAGTCTAAGGGTTTCTTAGTGATCATATACTTAAAGTCTTAAGTATGTGTTAGCATGTTGTTTTGGGTTAGATATTATGCAAGTTATAAAATGTAACATGATACCTATAGCCAACATAAGCACATTCTTACAGCTTTATTTGGTTTACAGAGCACACATTGATAATGTGTCAGATCAGCATTAAAATAATGCTGCACTGAAAAGTTCTGAATTACAAAACGTATTTTTTATACAGAATGTTTCGTAACTTCAAACAAACCATTGAAATTGAATAATTAATTGTTTATATTCATATTATAAATGCAAAAGTACTGATGGATGGATGGATGTTTGTCACTACAAAAAAGCTTAAAAGATCTTGATGAAATTTGGCACAAATGTAGTATATAGTCTGGAAAAACCCAGACTACCACCTATTTCTTTTATTTTTAAATAGACAGAGCCGCGGGCAAAATCTAGTTTATCTATGAATTAAACATTTCTCACCTTGATGCAATCTCCCATAACACAAGTGCACAGGCATACATATCAATTCTCAAGAAAGCATCCTTAGTAAAGTTTATTGCTCCATCCAGTACTTCAGGTGCCATATATCTTCGTGTTCCGACTTGGCCGTGAGCATCACCACATCCTCTTCCAGCAACAAAGATCAACGCAAGTCCAAAGTCAGCAATACAAGCGCTCATGTCAGATTTTAAGAGTACATTCTTTGATTTGAAGTCCCGATGAGCGACTGCTGGCTTTCCACCTCCTTCTTCATGAAGGTGTGCCAACCCTCGTGCCACACAAGCGGAGATACGCCAAGCTTCAGCCCAGGTTAGAGTATGTGCTTTCAAGTAGTCACACAGAGAACCCTGAAAAATGATGTGATGATTTATTTTCTATTCATTAGGACATAAATATTAACAATAAAAAAAATAGTTACCTTCTCATGATATGCACTAATAAGCCAATATTCAGCTTGCAAGTTGTCGCCCTTCTTGTCGACTCCAATATAGTGCAAAATATCTGGATGATCCATTCTCGGAAGACGATATATCTCTTGTTCAGCCAACCATGACTGTTTATCTTGCAACGGAAAGACTTTCACTGCAACATCTTTTGGTCCTAACTTCGCTCTCCAAACCGCACCAAATCGACCTCTCGCCCGCACCTCACATAATGTAACTTGACTGAGCAATCCACCTGTCTCATGATCCATACCAGCGCCTGCTGATGGTGGCCTTGACAATGATGCTTCACCATTAGCCAATTCAGCAAAAGAGCTACCTTTACGTTTCCGATATAATAGGTAACAACCTACTAGAATCCCAAACAGTATGAACAAAGGTGTCAATGTGTACGCAATCACAGCTTTAGTATCATCAGGGGTTGGTAATGGTGATGCTGGTACTCTCTCCGGTGGCAACTCAGTTTGCGCTGTCATACCCGCTTCTAGTCCTGGGAATGTTGCATTCTCATTGCACATGTCACCTTCACAGCAGCAATGAAGGAGTGGCAGTTTCACATTATGTAGTCTACAACTTGATGCTCTGTCATTACAAGCGACAGTATCAAGGAAACATCCCTTAACTTTCACTGTTGCTTTGTTTGTTTCATTATTAAAATGCCATAGAGTAAAGCAGTGGTTACTCTTATCAGATTCTATCGCTTGACATTCATCCCTTTTTACTTCAGGTGGTGGACAGTTGGGGTTTTTTGTTTCATCGCAAACTGAAGAATCATTAAAAAATTCACAGAATTTTGTTTCAACTCCACCTCCTTTCGGTCTGGGTGGTAGGTTTTCTTCCATAGGAGGTGCCCCTAATACCGTCCCTTGTATACCTTAAAACGAAAATATTTCTTATTAAAATAATATATATGGGGCATAATATCTATAATTAAATCTTTTAAAATCCAAACACTAGAAAAGGTAACAAATTTACAAAGGTGCTAAATTTATTTAAAGTAAAAAATAAACTTGTTTTAACAAGAGAATTTTGCATTCTAAACAATCTTATTAATATACCATTTACACATAGTTTTTTAAAGACACAGAACTTGGTTAACTATCTTAATCACATAACAAACAAAACAATATGTCTGGAATGTTAAAAGAATATAACAAAATTTATGGACGGAATGACGTCTTCTAGTCATTATAAATGAATGCATTGTAGCCATCATCTAACACAAGAAGGATATGCATTTTTCTTATGTATAAATTGACAAGTTACTCACCAAGCATAAGCAAAGTAAAATTAACCGCAGACTTAGCAACCATGGTGAAGACCTAGATGCTCAAGATCAGACGCTGTCGGCGGATTCGTCGCGACTCAACTATGTTATTTTTAAACACGACATGAAAGCTCTATTTAGGAAATCGCAACATAGGTACATGTCAAGTAACACAAACAACGCACATCGCAATTCGTACAGAAGGCGGAATCGCACAAAACAATACTTTTAAATACTTCAATCAAAACCAATTGAATTAGCTGATCAGTTAAATTAGATTTATTGCAGTGATTTAATTTGTAATTTCCGTATTGTTATAATCAAACAAGCTACCATCAATCACAAGCTTTACTTTTTTTGACATTAATAGTGATGTTCTGCAGCGCATCGTCAATTCGATAAATGTACGCGATTTGAATGTAGATGCATTTGGATCGAGTTGAATCGGAGTTGATAAAACAAGATGAAATATAACTGGCCTGGCTACAAATATCCTTGTTAACGACAAACAAAAAACTGTCTTTTTTTGGTTCTGCTTAATAGTAAGTTATTTAAATAAAATCATTTTGCTAACTTGAATTATCTCATGTCTTATTTTCCTGATCCGAATTGTCATTATACAACATAGACTCACGATGAACCCATTTTATTTTGTAAATCCATTTTTCATATGAATTAATACCATGGTAAGGTACTAGATGGCGTTAAAGACCAATATTGATATTTCAATATCATCACGCCACGCTGCTCAGGAGGTAGTAGTGAACATGGAAGTTACGTCATATCGATGTAGATAGAAATCATTATGTAGACTTGTTTCCCGCAATTAAAAATGTATTAAAACCCATTTTGATCAACTTCTGACTCAACATCTATATTTCTTTTCTTATCGTTACAGTGCAATTAACGTAATATCTAGGAGATAATAAATGTCATCAATTATTTTATGGCTTGATGTAGACTGAAAATTGAAGTGTTATCATCTGTATCTGTATCAAATTCCAGACTTCGGAAAGATGTATTTGCATTGCTGATAACGAAAATCGCATTTATTTTTTTTTTGTCTGTCCGCATGTCTGTCTTTCCGCAAGCCTCGTTTGTTCCGGGTAATCTCCAAAACGGCTTTGCCGATTTCGATGGGATATTCACTGGAGGGTAGCTGACATAGATAGACATATTATAGGCTACTTTTTTTTAAATTCCGCGCTATAATAATAGCGTAACGGATAGTGCGATTTTGTTAGGAATTTGAAAGATAGATAGTAGAAGGTAGACGCACGGGGTATGTGATACATGACTTTAAAAAAACGCGCTAGCAAAGTTTGCGGGCGACGGCTTATAATAGCTAAATTCACGTGGGAAATAATTGCAATTCAGTGCATATGGTGGTAGGATTTATATTATCGATCGGAGGTCAAGGGTGAAACGTGGTTATGACTATATTCAAATATTAATAAGCGACGACGCTACTAGAAATGCAAAACCTTAGGATTTTATTAGTTGTGCCTCTGTCCGGCCTTGATAATCTTGGTCCACTGTAAAATATAGCAAATTATACATTATTTTTAATCATGTCTTAAACAAAAGAATACATTATATAGTCATTAAAATATTAACATGCAAAATTCCGAATAAGACTCACAAGTACTAATTGTATTTTATTTTGTTGCAAAAATGATTTTAATGTGTTGTTTTTCATTTATTACATTATGGACTACGCTTAATTATACCTTCATTTTTAAATAATTATAAAATCTTGATTATGAACGCATTTAATTAACGTTTTTTACCAAAGCTAAATGAAAACTAGATATTTTTTGTAATTAAAAAGATTTTATTTTGAATATCAAATTGTATTAAATTTTCGAAAAGTTTATACGCTTCAACCGGGAAACGTATATTTCGCATCGTAATGAAAAAGTAACGCCAGGATACAGTTTTATAAACGCACAATAAAACATTAACAATGCTGAATTATCTGCTGATGATAAACCAAGTAATAATGACATGGTATGAAACTCGACTTCCGCCATTGAAATGCCTCTGACACTCTTAATTAAAGAAAATTATTTGTTAATTTCACTAAATTACTCAAAGATCAAAATAAATGAAATATTTTAAAGAAAGAAACAATCTTCAAATATCTAAACAATTAGTTGATTTGATATCCAACATATTACAAGCAATATTACAAGCTTTCGCCCGCGACAATCCGCGTGTGTGTGAAAGCAAAAGAATAGCTTATGTGTTCTTCAAGACTATCGAGATCTGTCCAGCAGTTTAGGCTACAAGCTCTAACAAACATCGGTCCATCCATCTAAACTTTCGCATTTCTAACATTAGTAAGATAGTGTGAAGATGCATTTTATAGTAAAATAAAGCTTTGAATCTGCTCATCAAAAATCATCGTATCGCAGAAGATGAGCAACGCATTGACTTAACCTCAACAGTGATGTCCATTATATGATTAAAAATCGATTTTTTATCGTAATCATCAGAGAGGAGAGGAGAAGAGGAGAGAGGAGATATTGATGTAAAGGTATCGTCCTATTCGCACCCAATTAATTTTACTATAGTGTGTCATATTATCAATTACCATTAGTCACTTTAAAACCTGGGATTTTAGAATGTCCGAATTGATTATTGAATGATTGGTCATTCGAAAGTAATCTATTCGGAAATACCACCTCAATTTTAAACGTGATATTTATCATTAAACAATATTCAATTTATAACACAAGATAGCGTAACCTTCATATAATTAGGAGATTCATTTGAACAATCGACGTTAGACAGTCGATAAAGTTACAGAGTTTAGTTGTTACTTTTAATATTGCGCGCGTAATGTGTAATATTTTTTTAAATTCACAACCGTAACAGGGGTTAAGTAGGGACTTATGATCTTATTTTAATTTACATTTATATGTAAACGTTAACATTAAGGATATCGCAACCGGTAGTAACGGAGCTTAAAAAAGTAGACTAACGCGAAACAATTGATATTGATTCGAGAACCAATGGTAATGTTTTCCCATCTGCGATATCTCACGGGACTGTTGATAACGTAGTTTTGACGTGCGCGCGAAACTCGACGGTTGTCGTTATGGGTTCCGAGTTCCCCGTCGCGTTCGATGGGAGAAGTTACGACTTACGACGGTTCCTGAGGGACCATCCGGGAGGTGTGAACACCTTAGAGAGGTACAAGGGGAAGTCGATAGCACAGGCTATGAAGATGTACGGACATAGTAACAGTGCGTATCACATGCTAGGTGATTTTAAAGTAGGAGAGCTGGGTGTACTAACAGGCGATGTTAGTAGCAATGGAAGGATCATAACGAAGGAAGAAGCGAATCGGGATGAAAAGGAAATCGCACATCTCGAGGAATTAGAGGTAACTTAAGTGTTATTTTAGATAGACAATACCCCAACAACTTGGTGATCAAACAAAATACAAATAAAGTTTTCTTTTAAATTTTGTCAGTTACGGCGTGGTTCCACTGTTTATTCCTTCTTATACAACATGATTAATTGAATTTATATATTAAATCATTCCTTCTTATACACCTTAAAAATGACATATTTGTTATGGATGTTTTGGTAACCCGTAGGTGAAAAAAATGCATTGGGATCTTACTAACGTTATAAATGTTAATATTTGAATGGATAGATGGATATTTGTTAGAATTTGTAGCCTAAACTGCTGAACGGATCTCGATGAAATTTAGCACAGATGTAAAGCATCGTCTAGAAGAACACATAAGCTACTTTTTTTTAATTCTGCGCAGACGGAGTCGCGTCGAAAGCTAGTAAAATTGCAACGTGAAAGACATATGAATTTACAGATGTGTTTTTAAATAAAACACGAGTTAACACTGTTATAGTGTTAGTGACTTTAAAATACGTATATTTGTGTCACTGGATCGTGGTTTATTTGACGCGATAGCTTAGCCGCCTGTCACGATTGTGACCTATCGAGCTATATTATTACTAGTGAAAGAAATTTTACATTTATTAAATAGTTTTTATTTTAGTAGTAGTGTTCGGATGTCTTTTGTCAAAATAACAAAATACAACTGATTAAATTCTTAACACAAAATTTAGTTTTTTTGCCTAGGCTTTTTTGTCTGATTAGTAGAATGGGAAGTATAGTATACATGGACATTGTAATTGACTTCATCGACTTTGAAGAGGAAGACTTACTGTCATAGTCATTCGTTTATCAGATCTTATAACTATTTAATAATAACGAGTTAAACAATCTCGTTAACATTTATGCAAGAACTAATCATGTTTTTCATGTAGCCTACAAACACACCTGTGAGTTAAATTGTCTAAAAATATGATATTTTTTATCTATTGCTTGAAATCGATAACAATTCGTTACATCCGTCGCGCCGTTTGACTCATCTTTCACTGATAAATGGCCATTTTTTTTGCCAATTAATTAGTTAACAGTATTAACCATATTAATAGTTTAGATAACATTTTCAGGTAATAATTTATTTTGGCTGGAAATTTAATAAAAAAGCAAGTAGTCCATGTGTTCTTTCAGACTATTTTCTAAATGTGTGCAATTTCATCCAAATCCGTTCTTCCGTTTAGGCAACATTGTCTAACAAATATATATCCATCTATCCACCCATCTAAACTTTAGTAACTATGAAGTATAATTTTCCCGGCACTGATACTATGAGAAATGTATTCAATTTTCTTTTCCTCGCACACACGTCGCTTAATGTAACAGGGGTTTAACTATAATGCCTGTAGTTAGATAATATCTGGCCAGTTGTATACGTTTACGATACTATTAGGTTGTAAACAAGCAACGGCATGCAAGATATGTACATTAGAACCATGAATTTTCGTTTACATCGACCTTGACAATGCCTAGCTGATAATTCGATAGCATTCGAGACTCACGTAAATTGTGTTAAACACCTAATTAGTTACATTTTTATCCAACGTTTTACACTACCTAACAAAACGTAATGATTCTTCCTTGCATGTTTATTATTAATTTATTTTGGATATTTTATTTGGGATCCGTCCAATAACGCAAATTCGATTTTAGGAATTTTGGGTCAATACCAAATTTAACTTTTTTTGATGTGTAGTGAAGGTAATTAATCTTTGATAATCGCTTCATTAGTATAAAGGAACTGAAAAATTAGGTTCATGTTCCAGAAATCACTGCTTACCCAAAGTGTAATAGATGTTAGGGGATGGCAAGGTAGGGCGACGGCCCTGGACGCCGGGGCCAAAGGCGCATAAGGGGCGCCATTTTAAGTATGAGTTTGTATTGTTGTTAGATGGCGCTGTTGTACTCGCCCAGGGCGCTGGGAATGCTAAAAGCGCCCTGCCCTGCTTACTGAGGGCGACATAGTATCTTTCAAATTTGTATTTGTCACCTTAAACATTAGGTATGTATTTGTACCCCTGAATAGAAATCAGGATTCAGGATGGTTGCAATGCGTTTGGTTTTTTGTTCGATTTGTAGTAGAAAGTTCTAGTTATATTTCTTTTATGTATATTTACGGCCGGTCTCAATAACGCATCCTGGATCGGGAGATCGCTTCAGTCGAGAAATAAAACGATCTGCTGGTTGATCACTAAGCGGTGTCTCAATAACATCGGATAGCAAACATCAACCGATTTTCAAAATGGATCAGCGGGATCGATGTACTTTGTGAAGTTCCCTCCTGGCGTTCCATTTCAAGCAGATGTCATTATGACTGTGTTGTAAACCTATTGATAAATTTAAGAAAATATGCACATTTCTGGGTTTTGACGTACTAACTAATTATTTATTTGTTACGTACTTTACGAATAAAACGTGTTTCAACATTTTCCAAGCAAATTGTCATTGTTGACAATTATATACTCCCTTTTCGGAATTTTGGTAGCGGTGCGAGATCGTAATCAGAGGAATAAATTGTCTGTCAATGTCATTTGACATCAGTTGTCAATTTTATTTACATCAGCTATTAATTTGAAATTTATATAGCTTCTATTCGTGTTTTTTGATAAACAACTAAATATTCACCATCGAAAGTGTAAGTGCAATGGTATGTATAATTTTATTGAGTTTTTAACATGTTTTTACTTTCTATACTTTTATTCAATGAACTTCCCTCGCGAAGACGCTTCAATTCGCGCCTAATTTGTATAAACCCTTTACATAGTAATTTCTTATTATTTCCAGACCTCAAGCAAGCCTCTTACGAAG